GCAAGCTTCACAATGACATACTATTACAGCCTTCAAGAAATCAACACATGCATGTTGTCATCTAATCTATTCAACATAAAAGTTATATTAGACAGATAACATATAGAAATTCTTTAGACATACTTTGGCAGCAAAGTTATCATGGCAGCATGTTTCAAGGACATTGGTATTACTAAAATTTCAGCTTTATGCACATATACACAAACAACATTTTAAGAGCTCAAATTCCATATTTAAAACACACAACACATCATTTCTGTCTAAGCTACAAAATTTCAAATTTTAATTACACAACATGCTTGTAAAGAAAGCCTAATTCAAGTCATATAATGGTTCAATTTAAAGGATTTAATTCACAAGGAAACAAAGGGTGTGAGGGTTAGAACAATCCCTACCTTAACAAGCGAAGCCTCACAAGGGCTGCCTCCAAATTTGTAAGTCCAAGCTCACCAAATGAAGATTTAAAACCACCAATGAAATAAGGAAGGTAAGAGGAACAAAATCCTTTCAAGGAGCGCAACCAAAATCGCACTTCTAAGGGGATTTTTGAATTTCAGATTTGAAGAAATGGGTCCAATTTCTACATCTCTCTTATGGTCATTTCTCTCTTCTATGGTAGCCCCAACATCCCTCTCTAAATTCCTCAAAATCAAGCTTCAAAAAAAATGGCAACAATGGAGGAAGGAAATGGGTTTGATAAAGAAAAAGGAAAAAAAGAAAAGAAGGAAGAAGAAGAATAGGAAAAGAAGAATTGCTAAAGTAGTTACACGAAAGTGCTCAGCTACTGCATGTAATGAACATGCCATGTGTGTATACAAATGTCAAGCCCAAATGTGGTCAAAGGGTGGACCATACACAAAGACTAAAATGCCCTCTTTATACTACCAAATCACCTCTATACCATGACCACAACAAAAGACCATACCACCCTTAAGAAATGAAACAATGACGTACAACACAACTAATTACATTAAAATATATATATAAATGAATAAAATAAATACAAATTTGGAAACATCACAGTTATGATACATTTTGATTATGTTGGATTGAAAAGGAATATGGATGATAGCATTTGTTTTGGAAGAGAACATAAATGTACATAGAAGACAGAAAAAAGCATGGATACACTACTGGTGATTTCGAGAATAGAGATAAGGTGCCAAAATAGATATACAAACAACATCCTTATGCATCCTTGTTGTTTACACCCTAAATTTCAGTCAATGACTACTTGACACGTGGCTAGTTTTATATAAAACTTGCCATATATCAATTTTGTTTACACCATAATTATCAGCCATTTTCCAAAGGAAGGTTGCCCTGGTCGATTCGAATAGAAGATATTACAATGTTCTAATGGAAATCACTATTTTCTAAAGACTTTGGCTAAAAACCAATTCAAGGTGGACACATAGCTTAATTAAAGGGCCACAACTATAAATATTTACACCATAATCATTGGTCACTTTCCAATAGAAAGTTATTGTGGCCGTTTCCAATGGAAGGGTGATATCCAAACATGGGTACAATCATAAAACAACATGTGGATTCATCTAAGAAAATTATTTGGTGAAATAACTATTTTAGGACACGTAGCAACCAAGGAAGTAAGCGGTTATATGCAAATGGAAAGTCATGGGACACGTGGTAGCCAAGGAAGTAAGCGGTTACATGTAATTGGAAAGTCATGGAACACGTGGTAGCCAAGGAAGCAAGTGGATATATGTAAATGGAAAGTCATGGGACATATGGCAGCCAAGGAAGCAAGCGGTTACATACAAGTGGAAAGTCACTGGACATGTGGCAGCCAAGGAAGTAAGCGGTTACATGCAAGTGGAAAGTTATGGGACACATAGAGAATTTCCATTAGAAGAATGGTTATTCCCAGCTAATGGAAAGTCATGCTGAAAATGGTAGAAATGTAGGAAAACGTGGTCCTACACATGCAAGCACTATGAAGTCTGAAGAATGCAGTAGGACATATGGCATGAATCTAACTAATTCACTTGGAGGCATCTAAAGTTGGCAATGAAACTTCCCATGCTAACTATCATTCCACAATTCTATAAATAGGGCATGATATTGAAACTTAAAAGGTTTGTTCAACACATACAACTATAGCAGCATTTCAATATAATTTATCTTTTCATTGCAATGCACTTTCAATATGTCTAGCTTAAGTTCTGCACTTTATTGCTTTACATTAGAGTATTATACATTTAAGTCCTTTACTTTCAAAAGTAGCTCATTCCTGTTTTGCTAAATAATAGTCCCGAAGTCCTTTTTCAAAGGCTAAAAGAACCTAGAGGTGTTCATTCTAGACTTGTTCACAATCGCCTGGACTTGCAATCTTCTATCTGGAGTATTGTCTGGATCTTTCTTTGGAACTACAGCAGTTCTTGGCACATTCATCCGGTTCCATCAGAACCGACCAGTTTTACAAGCCAAACATAGTCGCACGCTCGGCGGGACCTTCTGAACACCAGTTTTGCAAGATTTTGCTGAGATTGAAGGGAAGCAGGCTAGTAAACTTCTAGTCGATAATTCACATACCGTTCTAGAAGAAGAAGAAAATATAATTACAAAGTTTATTAAAGCAATGTCAAGCGGTGCCATTTTTAGAAATTTTCAGAAGTCGGAACGATTTTTGGGCTCGGGAACTTCTCCCAGTTTTGCCGTTGTGTAAAAGGGCATTGTGGACGTTTTACTTATATATGTATATACATGTATCTATAGTTTAGAGGAAGATATTTATGGCACAAGGAAGGAAATATATGGTTTATAGGAGGGCAAATTGGTAACTTGACATAATTTAGAAATCACACAAACGGTGACAAGTGGCAAAGGAGGGACCACCCCCTCAAATTGTAAACTTGCCAAGCCATCCCTCCTCCCTCCCATTTCAGAAATCACTCACTCCCTCTCTCTCTTTCTAAGTCTTTCTTTCTCTGTATATATCTATATATCCACACATATACTTCATGCTTCAAGCTCTAATTTGGAGGTTTTAGAGTGTGAGTTTGTGGAAGAGCAAGTAGGAAGTTTTGCTCCACTAGAATAGGGCTTCCATTTGACATCCATCTTGCAAGGGGTTGAGGATTTTGAATTTTGGCTTGCACTAGGGCTTGTTTGGCTAAGTCACAGAGGTAGGAGTTTTCTTTCTAATGTGATGAGCGCTGAAAAGTGTGCATTTAAACCCCTTAAGCTTGAGTATTCTAGGACCTTATTCTATCTTATTTTTCCGTTTTAGTCTAATTTCATGTTTTTGTCTATTTTAGGTCAGTAATGTTAAAATGGGCTAAAAATGGTTTCTTAAGGCCTTTTTAGAGTCAAACTAAGTATGGGTGAGAATCTGGAGCAAAAGGAGGCGGATACTGAAAAACTGCCAAGTGAGATCGATCGGAGAAAAGTGAGATCAATCGTAGAAAAGTAAGATCGATCGGAGAAAAATGAGATTAATCGAACTCTGATCGATCGAAGATATTTTGGATCGATCGAAAATGTGCCGGTAGCGAGCTGTCTTATTCCCACGAGCCCGAACTCCACCTACCACATAGTTGCGGGATTAGATATTTTTGGGCTATATTTCTGACTTAGTGACTAAGAAAAGGACCTTGTATTTAAACGGAATTGAACCATTTTGTAAGAGTGCTTTTTATCATTTTATTTTACATTGTAATTTTTATTTTCTCTCTCTAGAAAAGTTAGAGTTTAGGGTTAGAAGAAAAGAGAAGAGTGGAGGCTCCAAGAACACATCTCAAGATCTACACACACTCTCTCTTTAGAATTTAACAAAGAAGAAGAGGAAGAAGATGGAGCCATGTTTGGGGATTGCCCTTGAGAGTTCCAAGATCATACTCACCTCCTCCATGATTGGCTAGACTTCTCTTTAGGGCTTGGATGAGCCCCAAGTTTATAATCTAAACCTCTATCTTTTTCATACTTTTTGGGGAATAATATCTTGTTATTATTATTTTAGTCTTGTGAATTTAATGAATCTTGGGTTCTCTTTTGATTTTTATGGATTAATTCTTCTATTAATTCTCTATGTGATTACATGTTGTCTTATGTGTGATTATTTGAGAATTGATCTCTACATTAGTTTTTCTATATTAATTGTGTGTCTATGTGTGGTTGATTGAGAATTTAGTGATAGCTAGACATGGTTTTTATTAGATGGGTTTGTTAATTAATTTGATGGATTATACTTATGCTTGATGGGTTGTTTTACAATTTAATTCATGCTTATAGGTAGGTATACAATCTTTACTTGATTTGATATTACATGGCTTATTATTGTAAATTCCATGATTCTCTAATTTGATGTGTGCTACAATTGTGAATAGTTTGATGGGTCATGCTTAGAATTGATGGGTTGTGCTATAATTAGTTTATTTGTCGGTTAGGTAGACAATTCATACATAAATTTGATGGTCCATGCTTAATATTGCAATTGATAGTCGCATTTTGTTCACAAGAATGTTTTCCCCAAATTAGTTGAAAGTGTGTGGTTTGGTGAACAAGCTTGGTGGCAATTCCAATAGACCCTAAGACCTCACTTCTCATCTCTAAAATCCTTATCTCAACTTAGTTTTATTTTACTTGCATTTAATTAATTTTTTTCTAGTTTAATCAACCAATCTCTCTCTTTTGCAATCAATTGGTACATTAGAGTCGAAATTAAATTCCAACACGTATAATCTCTGTGGACGCTTTATTAGTTGTAGTAGTGGTTTTATAAATGTAAATTTGACTAGAAAGGCTTCCGAAACCACATTCATATTTTGACCTTGCGAAGCGACCTCTCGCATTAAAAAGTCCATTTTCTTAATCACTTAGAGGAAGGGGCGAGACTCGTCAAATTTTGGCGCTGGTTCCAGGGATTAACGGTTTTGTTAGAATTAAACTAGACAATAGTGTTCATTGGATTGCTTCAATTTTTATTTTATTTTCCTTTGTATATTTGTTTCTTATTCTTGATATTATTTGTCAATTAGGTACTTGACTACAAGAAAGGCAAACTTTGGAACTTGAAGCAATCATTGGAGCTTAAAGCTAACATTAAAATTTGAAGTTGCTTAAGGACCTTTGTGAGCAATTCTTGGAACTCTTGTATTTTAATTGTTTCACTTCTTTACATACTTGTGATAGCGCTTGTTAAGGCTCATTATATTGCTTAAATTTTTGTCTAAGCACTGGCTCGTATAGAGGCCATTATTTGTTGCATTTGGATTTTGAATGTGGATGGAGCCATTGTTTGATCCAAGTTTGGGGGGGAACTTACAACCCTTCACCTTATGCTCCTCCATCATATTTTAATCCTTATGAGATTGAGTCCAATGTTCAACATGCATCATTTTATCATAGACTTGATCACTCTTTTAATCCTCCTTGTGACTATTACCCTCCCCCACCATTTTATGAAGAACCACCTTATCACCTTATTCACCCGAGTTTCAAGAAAAAGTGTTAGCTCTACTTGATGGGCTTAATTCACAAACTCAAGATATTAATTCTCATTCTCAAATCTTAGCCAAGCTTGAAGCTCAAGTTGAGCAAATTGCAAGTACTCTTTCTCATCAAGAGAAGGAGGAAGAGGCAAATGAAAAAATGGTCAGAACTTAAATTTATATAGATGAGGATGATGAGAGTGAAGAAGAAGAAGTAGCAAGTGAGCAAATTGAGGAGTTAATGAGTCCACTAATGGCTAATTCAATAGAGCACAACATGATTAATGAGGACTTTCCTTGTTTTGATTATGATTTGATTCCGGCCTTTGATACTTTAGAGAGTGGGGAGATGTTGACCACTATAGATGTAGGAGAGAAGGAGGAGGAACTTGTTGAAGAGGGCCTTCCTTCTATTATCTCCAATGACCTTCTTGAGACATGCCTTTTTGAAATGTATAAAAATTGTGGTTTTGACAAAGAAAGCTCTATAAATGAAGTCAACTCTCTAATGGACTCCATGGCTATTTTAGAGGGTGAAGAGATGGTGATCATTGAGGAAGAGAAAGGGGATGAAGAGAGTGCAATTCCTATTAGTCCAAATGAGTCTTTGAAAGACAATGCCTCACCAATTATCAAAGTGAATGATCATTTAAATGTGTTTCAAGAACATAACAAAGAGGCAAGCCTAACCATGATTGATTTTGTTTTCAAGACCGTGGATGAAATGAACAAAATCTTCTCTTTCATTTCTTTTCAAGTCATTCTTTTGGAGGACGATTTCATTGTCGTAAGTGAGGCATCAAATGAGAAAAGTGAAAAAAGGGTCAATAAGGATTTTTCATATCCGGTTTTTGATTCTTTTGATTAGTGAGTTGAACTAACATCTTGCTAGAGACGTTAAATACTAGTCATTCGTAGAATTTCACAACTCTACTCCTCCCCCATTTCTTTTTATTTTTCATTTTCTTGTGTACATTCTTCCATCCATTTTTCAATCTTTATTCTTGTTGCCATCATTGGGGCTTAGCACAGGATTTCTGCACTTTCATTTCCAAATTAGGCATTTGGTGCCAGTTCGATCGATCACAAGTATACCCTGGATCGATCGAACCTCTCTACAGTCGATTCTCTGCATATTTTAGGTCTCTGTGTATTGTTTGAACTTCATATCCGATCAATCTAAATAATTTTCGATCGATCTGGATACCCTTATGATCGATCTCACTTCTATACTTAGAAAATTTTTTGAAGCTCTGCAAATTTTATACTCTCTGTCCCATCGCGTGAGCATAGAGATTGATCATGATGTGATTGATCTAAGTCAGGATCGATCATAACTTTACCCCTTTGACTTTTTGACTTTTTCCTTTTTCTATTTTTAATTTAATTTTTTATTTTCATTTACTTTTGTCATTTTTTTTTTTTAATTTTATTTACTTTTCTCTTTAAAAAAAAAAAAATTATTTCTTTGTATTCTTTATTTCCTTGCATTTTTATTTACTTGCCTTTTTTCTTTTTCTTTTTTTGTTTGTGTAGATATTTGTTTTGTCTAAAAAAAAAAAAATAATTAAAAATAAAGATTATTTTTAAACTAACATTCCGTCTTGCTAGAAACGTTAAACTTAGCACCCATTTTGCATATTACTTGTATTTTTCGTTTTTCTTTGCGTGTTTAAAAAAGAAAAAAGAAAAAAAAAAAGAGTAAAATAGTTTTATTTTTCATTTTTCATTATTTTGTTCTTGCATCCTTTCTAAGTTTCTGTTTTTTATTTATTGCACTATACATGTTCTTTTATTGCATTTTACCTTCTTTATTTTTCTTTTTATATTTTTTTCATGCATCATATTCTTTATTTTTCTTACATGTTGTCTATACATGCTTTCATGAAATGAAAAATACAAAAATTTGTTTCACCACTATGCCCTTATGTGTAGTCACGTATACTTTCATGCTTTAGTTAGGGCATATCTTTCTTGCATCTTGTGTTATATTGCCTTAGAATGCTTGATTTACTTATCTTATCGCATTTGATATTTGATGTGAGTTTGCTAGTGTGGTTATTCAATTAGGTTGTTGATTCCAAGTTTGGGGGTGCACTCTTTCCCAATGGATCACTACCGGGCTCAATGTCTTTGCCACCACGGTATATTCTTTCCATCTTTTCCATTATTCTCATTGCACATTGAGGACAATGTGTGGTTTAAGTTTGGGGGTAAGGGTCCTTGTTGCATTCTACTTAAGTTTGAGACTTAATTGCATGATTAAGATTGAAGATCCATGTTAGATATTATTTTGATCATTTGAGGACTATATTGCTTAAAATTTAAAAATTGCTTGACTTAAGAGTCTAATACTCCTTATATGCCTTATAGATGCCATTTAAGAGTAAATTTTTTGAAAGATTGATATCTTGTTTGCATTTGTGATCCACATCATCTTGATTCTGTGATTGTTTTGAGATTCATTCTAAGATTCTACACTAGCACAGGCGCACACTAGCATTCATTTGTGGGGTACATGCTTTGTTAATTATTGATTTGGTTATATCCCAATTGAGCTAGTAGTGTATTGAAAGTTTTCATTCTTGATAAAGGTGGATAACAACCCCTTTTCACTAAGTAGCCAGGATTCTAGCCTCATCAAACACTGAATTTCTCGCACCGAAAGGTGGAGGGCCCAAACTCCAGGTTAATAACTTGGTACGAAAAAAAAAAAAAAAAAAAAAAATTGCAAAAGTAAATAAAAAAGTGAGGACTTCTCCCAAAAGGTGAGAAGTGAAAAATGATTAGATGGAGGTTGTTTTGATTTATAGCTTAGTTGATTTGAGCTTGTAAGTCCTTAGGGGTGTTTAAACACCTAATGCCCTAAAGCCGTCTGGTTTGGGAGTCATTGACCTAACATTCGACCTCATGGATCGCTAGAAAGCTTAATAGATCACTACATTGCACCATGCTTCCATCTTTGATCCTCTAGGTTAGTTAAAAAAAATAAAAAAATCGAGTGAAAAGAAAAAGTGCACCTAGATAAATAAAGCTTTAATAAAAGGTCCACTTTTTGTTTTGATGATTGGGACTAGATTTGTGTGCTAGTTTAAGGGTAAGGATGTAATCATTTCTTTAGTTGGCTTAGCTAACAACATATTTGATGCCGATCCACTCAAAAAGGATTCTAGTGTTGTTTTGATTTGCATGATCATTGTCTTGATGTGTGGAGGACCATATTTATTTGTTTGATGTTAAGATTTTGGGAGATTGCTTGGAAAGGGTTGAAAAATTGCATACTTGAGGTAGTTTTCTCCCGATGCTTATTTTGTATATTGGTGCTTCTTTAGTGAGAAAGAGCTCAATGTTTGTGGGTATCATTTCTGGAAACCCTCACGAGATTTCATTTGTCCACTAGGGGTAACCTAGGGGCTTAAAAGGCTTGTTGCATGTGCTAAATGTAATCGTGTTCCCTACGAAAGTGGCGTTATCCATTTATTACTTTCTAGTTCATAGTTGTTCAGTTGTTCATTTCATTCCTTTACTTTGTAGTTCATTGCTAGGGACTAACAATATTTAAGTTTGGGGGTGTGATGAGCGCTGAAAAGTGTGCATTTAAACCCCTTAAGCTTGAGTATTTTAGACCTTATTCTATCTTATTTTTCATTTTAGTCTAATTTCATGTTTTTGTCTATTTCAGGTCAATAATGTTAAAACTGGCTAAAAATGGTTTCTTAAGGCCTTTTTGGAGTCAAACTAAGTCTTAGTGAGAATTCGGAGCAAAAGGAGGCTGGTGCTAAAAAACTACCAAGTAAGATCGATCGGAGAAAAGTGAGATCGATCGGAGAAAAGTGAGATCGATCGTAGAAAAGTGAGATCGATTGGAGAAAAGTCAAATCGATCGGAAAAAAGAGAGATCAATTGAACTCTGATCGATCGAAGATATTTTGGATCGATCAAAAATGTGCTGGCAGTGAGTTGTCTTATTGCCACGCGCCCGAACTCCACCTACCATATAGTTACAGTATTAGATATTTTTAGGCTGTATTTCTGACTTAGTGACTAAGAAAAGGACCTTGTATTTAAAGGGAATTGAACCATTTTATAAGAGAGCTTTTTATCATTTTATTTTACATTGTAATTTTTATTTTCTCTCTCTAGAAAAGTTAGAGATTAAGGTTAGAAGAAAAGAGAAGAGTGGATGCTTCAAGAACACATCTCAAGATCTGCAATCTCTCTCTAGAATTCAACAAAGAAGAAGAGGAAGAAGATGGAGCCATGTTTGGGGATTGCCCTTGAGGGTCCTCCATGATTGGCTCGACTTCTCCTTGGGGCTTGGATGAGCCCCAAGTTTGTAATCTAAACCTCTATCTTTTTCATACTTTTTGGGGAATAATATCTTGTGATTAGTGTTTTAGCCTTGTGAATTTAATGAATATTGGGTTCTCTTTTGATTTTTATGGATTAATTCTTTCTATTGATTCTCTATGTGATTACATGTTGTCTTATATGTGATTATTTGGAAATTGATCTCTACATTAATTTTTCTATATTAATTACATGTCTATGTGTGGTTGGTTGAAAATCTAGTGATGGCTAGACATGGTTTTTATTAGATGGGTTTGTCAATTAATTTGATGGATTATACTTATGCTTGATGTGTTGTTTTACATTTTAATTTATGTTTGTAGGGTATGTAGACAATCTTTACTTGATTTGATATTCCATGGCTTATTATTGCAAATTCCATGATTCTCTAGTTTAATGTATGCTACAATTGTGACTAGTTTGATGGGTTATGCATAGAATTGATGGGTTGTGCTACACTATTTTATTTGTCGGTTAGGTAGACAATTTATACATAAATTTGATGGTTTATACTTAATATGGCAATTGGTAGTCGCATTTTGTTCACAAAAATGTTTTCCCCAAATTAGTTGAAAGTGTGTGGTTTGGTGAACAAGCTTGGTGGCAATTCCAATAGACCCCAAGACCTCACTTCTCATCTGTTAAATCCCTATCTCAACTTAGTTTTATTTTACTTGCACTTTAATTAATTATTTTCTAGTTTAATCAACCAATCTCTCTCTTTTGCAATCAATTGGTACATTAGAGTCAAAATTAAATTCCAACACGCATAATCTCTGTGGACGATCCCTACTCACTATAGTTCATTAGTTGTAGTAGTGGTTTTATAAATATAAATTTGACTAGAAAGACTTCCGAAACCACAATCATATCTTGACCTTGTGAAGCGTCCTCTCACATTAAAAAGTCCGTTTTCTTAATCACTTAGAGGATGGGGCAAGACTCGTCATAATGCCTTAAAATTTGGCTCTTGTTGAGAGTTATTGCGTAGTTATTTCATTAATTTCTAGTTAAAGGCTATATTATGAAGTTGTTGTTATGTGAGTATTGATTTGGTATTCAAGTGTTCAAAGTATGCTTGTATAGATGGAATTGTGTCACTCTGTGTTGAGATTAAATGCTAGCATGATTGTATAGTAACAATTGTTTGAAAAACAAGCATATGGATAAATATGTGGATTATGTGCTATACTTGAAACCATTTTGTAGAAGCAAATACCATGCTTATGCTCATTGATTGAAAATTCCATGTTATGTTTACATTGTGGAAAAAAAAAGCCTTGCATTTGCTATTGTTACTAATTTAATGGAATTTAGACTACAATGATGCATAAACATGACATAGTGAGAAAGGGAAAGGGAATAAGGGTTATAGAAAAATGATTTTGTAAAAAGTGACTGAATTTCGCGAGTCCGGTGCTAACTTGACCTAAAGGGAGCACGTGTTGCTTTAAGATGCGTAAAGTTTATTACTAGGCCCCAAATGGCCATCAGTTTAGAGGCCTGGGATAGTTAATCAATCTCGCCTCAGTATAGTCGGTTAGCATCTTTGGTGTGTGTTAGGATCGGTACAGCCCAAAGACGGAGGGACATGGTGCATTGCATTTCATTTCATGCACAACCTTTTTATAATGTATAGTTGATATTGGTGAAATGTAACTAAAACCCAATGTATGACCCCGATTCTGTTTTAGTCCCATTATATGTTTCATAGCTCAAGGGAGTCTAAAGTTAACGCCTTAGACAACTTCTACTGAGTCTCCATGCTCACACCTTCCTTTAATATTTTTCAGGTCATGGTAAGGACATGATTGATGACGGACCTTCGCAAGGATAGATGATGTAGATATCATCCTCTTTTTATAAATTTTTGTAACTAATGTTAGCGACATGATTATTATTTTTTTGTATAAGGGTTTTAATTCGGGCATTTTTGTAAAAAGTATTGCAAATTCGGTTTTAAGGACCTTAGCCATGTAGTTGCGACTCATTGGGTTACCCTTGAATTATTTTGGATATGTATATGATGGTGATGAGGACAATGTCCGTATTTGATCATCTATGTATTTATTTTGAAATGGAATGATGATGATGATGTGGATATGTTAATGAATGACATTTAGATCATTTTATATCCGTATCTATGAGTTGGGACAGGTATTCTAAGGTCTAATTGATCATATTATAATATGGGATTAAGTACCAAGTTATGGTAGTAAGAATGGAAAATTTCAAAAAAATTAATCTTGGGCCGAAGTACTGTTCACCAGAGAGTTGCCAAATGGATGACTGGTCGCCAATCTGGGCGACCAGTCACCACTTATCAGGCGCGCGCTCCAGGTGGCCCTTATGCGCATGCTGAGTTGCCCAGGGGTGTTGGACGACCGGTCCCCACTTCCATACTTAGCCAAAATTCTTTTTTTCTTGCATTTTCAAAACCCGACTTCAACGCATCATATCTTTTTCGTTTTAAACTCGATTGGACTCGTTCTTGAGTCAAAGTTACTTGATTTTAAATCCTCTTTCACATGGTGTAGGTTTTATCTTATAAATTTGACAAGAAAGGATAATTTTACCCTTAGTGGCCAAAAGGTTTTGAATGAACTCAAAGTCTGAGGTAGGTTATTTATGTGACCCGTGGTGGCTAGAAGTGACTAATGTAATCTCTTTGAGACTCTTATTGTGTAGTTGGTGTAAAATGACTATTTTACCCTTGAGTGTCCTCAGGTTCGGGTAAGGACCCAGTTAGCGATCCGATTCCCCAGGTTTGGGTTGTTACAGATTTGGTATCAGAGCCGAGGTTCGAAAACCTTTAGGATGACGTGTAGTGGCTTACCTAAATGGGGTAGAGAGTTGATTTGCATTGAGTATGTGTTCTGTGTTAAAGTGTTAAATATTCTAGATGCATATTTACTTGCTACGTGCTTACTTGCTTAAGTGTTATATGACTATATGTTTAAATGTTAAGGTATGCTAATTACATGGCCATGTATGTGAGGTATTTATATGAATTGAGCATGGATGTAAATTGATTCAATGTTGGGGACCGTATTAAGCATGCTATGTGTTTTAGTGTTACCATTATCGTTGCGTGTGTTGCATGAGGACGTCGTTCTCGGGCGGGCTATATTTTATTGCTGTTTTTGAATCGCTTTCTCATTTAATAGTGCCATGCCACCAAAAAGGGATCCCGGGGAAAGCTTTAGCTCTAATCCTATGGAGAGGGTTAAGGAGTAAGTTAAGGAAGATGTGTTGTTGCGTGACTTAGTTCCGTTATGACGGGGATAAGTACAGAGGAATATTGAGCCGCCTACTTAAGTAGGCGAGGACTAGATTTGGCAGACCCTATATGCAGTCTTTTAGGAGGTACTTCGGTCTACGGTGGTGTCTTCATCGCAAGTTGTGCCACAGCCAGCCCCACCACTGGAAAAGTGTGAGTCATAGAAGACTCTTGACCACATTGCTAGGTATATGAAGTTGATGTCGACCTTGTTTGAAAGCTGTCTGGATCCGCTTATGGACAGTTTTATGGATAGGGTGGAGAAGTATCTTAATGCTATGGATTTGTTGTTGGACAGGTTAAAGATCATATTGGCTACTTATAACTTCACTGAGGATGCAGAGATTTGGTGGAAGACCATTTCTCACACACACAATATGAACACTATGACCTATGGCAAATTTAAAAAGCTTTACTATAAGAAGTACTTTTCAACACCTAAGAAGAGATAGTTGAAGATAGAATTTGATGGTCTCAAGTAAGGGAACATGACAGTTACGGAGAATGAGAACAAGTTCACATCCCTTTCAAGATTTGTACCTGGGATAGCAAATGATGAAGAAGAGAAGACCTTGAAATTTATGGGTGATCTTGATTTCACCATTAGGCTGGTAGTGGTCGTCGGAAAGCTAACAGAGTATGCAAAAGCTATGAGGAAAGCCTTAGTAATTGACGCAGAAAGCAAGGACAAATGGGCCATACGGAGTCTTATAGACAGGGTAGGAATGTGGGTGCTACTTCCAAGATTCAGTCAAGGAAGAGGCACAGGAATAAGCCATCAGGGTTTTAGGGACATCAGGTGCTAGGTTTGTACCAGCAGCTATGGCTTCTATGGGTTCTTCTAGACTAGATGTCGTGTGTTTCAAGTGTAAGTAGCCCAAGCACTTCAATGCACAGTGTCCACAGACTCAGTCGATTCAGAGAGGATATTTTGGGTGTGGCCAGTAGGGTCACTTGGTGAGAGATTATCTACGATAGAGTAGTGGTACTGGCAGGGGTGGAGGCTCATAGTAGAGGCCGACACAGTTTGCCATAGTTCAGTCAGGGTTTTGACCACCACCACCGCCACTGCCAGCTATAACATCTCAGGGTCCCCGAATGGGTAGAGGAGCTCCATCTAGTGCACCTACACAGCGGTCAAGCTATCATACCAGTGGTTCTTAGGGCCAGAGTGTGTACAGTTACTTTGGCTGCTACTCCAGCCGAGCCATCATCCAGTCCATCAGTTATCAGGGGTATGTTTCTTGTGTCCCATTCATGGGCTAAAGTGGTGTTTGATTCTAGTGCTTCGTATTCTTTTATTACGTCATCATTTGCACGAGCATTGGGATTAGAGGTTAGCCAGTTGAATAGGCTACTTTATGTGGACACACCTATTGGGGATTCAGTTATTCTTGATAGAGTTTGTCGCGGTTGTACCATCACGATTGCAGGACGTGTGCTTGAGTTTGATCTCATCCTTCTTAAGATAGTGGAGTTTGATGTCATTCTCGGGATGGATTGGTTGTCATCATTCAGGGCAGTTATTGACTATCTTAGAGGTCGGGTATCGGTTTACACCCTTGAAGGGGATTGTTTCTGTTTCATAAGAGATCAGTGTGATTCCCTTATTTCTTCATTTTATCGCGTTAGAGGTTAGGATCGATGGGATTTCTTTTTCGCTAGTCTCTTAGCCGATGATTATGAGTTTTACAGGGTCGAGTGGTTGGAAGTTGTATGCGATTTTTTAGATGTATTTTCAAAAAATTTGACTGAGTTGCCTCCATCTACAGAAGTGGAGTTTGCCATAGATCTTATGCCTGGTACGATGCCCATTTCTATAGCACCGTATCGCATGGCACTGGCTGAGTTGGAAGAGTTAAAGAAGAAGTTAGACAATTTAAAGACAAAGGGTTTTATTCAGCCTAGTGCTTCACCATGGGGAGCACCGGTCTTGTTTACAAAGAAGAAGAATGGTTCTTTGAGGTTGTACATCGATTATTGAAAATTGAATCATGACGCCATCAAGAACAAGTATCCATTGTTTACGATTGACGACTTATTTGATCAATTCAAAGGCGCTTGTTATTTTTCAAAGATCAACTTAAGATCCGGCTATTACCAGTTGAGTGTAAAAGAAGAGGACATTTCTAAGACTGCGTTTTGTACTTGGTACGGCCATTACGAGTTCTTAGTCATGCCATTTGGTTTGATGAATGCTCTGGTGACGTTTATGGACTTAATGAATCTTGTCTTCTATGTTTATCTTGATAGGTTCATTGTTGTGTTGGTGGATGACATATTAGTGTACTCATCGTCTAAGGAGAAGCATAAGATACATTTGAGAACAGTGTTGCAAATTGTAAGGGAGCATCGGTTGTATGTCAAGTATGAGAAGTATGAGTTTTGGTTATTGGAAGTGAAATTTCTGAGGCATGTTGTATCCAAAGGACGAGTTTCAGTTGACCCTTCCAATATTGAAGCGCTGTTAGATTGGGAGAGTCCGAGGAACTTGTTCAATATTTGAAGCTTTTTGAGTTTAACGGGATATTATTAGAGATTTGTGTAGAATTTTTCTCGCCTAGCCGCTCCTATGACGAGGCTTACCCGTAAGGGTATAAAGTTTGTGTGGAATGAAGCATGTGAATCTGCATTTCAAGAGTTGAAGACGAGGTTGACAATGACATCAATTTTAATCATACTAAAGTATGGCTTGGGTTATATCATTTACTATGACGATTCCCGTGATGGTTTGGGTTGTGTCTTGATGCAAGACGGGAGGGTTATTGCTTATGGGTCTAGACAGTTGAAGACTCATGAGCACAACTACCCTACGCATGACTTGGAGTTGGCAATAGTCATTTTGCCTTGAAAAGTTAGAGGCATTACTTGTATGGCTAGAGGTTTGAAGTCTTCTCATATCACAAGAGTTTTAAATACCTTTTTGTGCAAAAGGACTTAAATTTGAGACAGTAAAGATGGGTCGAGTTCATGGAGGACTACAACTTTGACTTACAATATCATCCCAGAAAGGCGAATGTTGTAGTAGATGCTTTAAGTAGAAAGTCCCGTGGAGAGATAGTTTGTCTTGCTATTCAAGAATGGAAGATGATGAAAGATATTGTGGCAATGGGGTTGCATTTTAGTGATAGTAATGAGCCCGCTACATTATTTAGTCTCGTGGCTCAACCGACACTCATTAGTCGGGTTATTAAGGCTCAAAAGCAAGATAGTGAACTTGAAGTTATTCGTTCATGAAATTTGGGTGCAGAGATAGTCAAAGGTTGGACCTTATGTCCGGATAAGACTTTATGGTTTAAGGGCTTGACAGTTATTCCTACGTCTTGTCGTGATGATATTTTGTGGGAGTTTCACACTTCTCATTTTGGTGCATCCTGGTAGCACAAAGATGTATCACAATTTGAAACATCAATATTGGTGGAAAGGAATGAAGTGGGATGTGGTATAGTTTGTGGCTAAATGTTTTACTTGTCAACAAGTGAAGGTCGACCACCAAAGGTTAGCAGGAATACTTCAACCGCTAAAGGTGGCACAGTGGAAGTGGTAACATGTCATTATGGACTTTGTGATAGGGCTTCCAAGGTCAATGAGGGGCAATGACGCAGTTTAGATCATAGTTGACAGATTGACCAAGTCGACTCATTTTCTACATATGAGTGGGTCGGATGATATTGATGCGTTTAGCCGGTTATATGTGAAAGAGATTGTGAGATTACATGGTACTCTAGTAACTATTATTTTAGATAGAGATCCTCGGTTTACCTCCAAGTCTTGTGAGGGATTTCAGGCGGCACTTGTAACCTAGTTACATTTTAGTACGGCATTTGATCCGTAGACGGACGACCAGTTTGAGCATACCATTAAGATTTTGGAGGATATGCTTTGGGAATGTATTCTTCATTTTGAAGGCAGTTGGGAGGACCATCTGCCACTAGTTGAGTTTTCCTACAACAACAGCTATCAGACGAGTATAGAGATGGCTCCTTTTGAGGCGTTGTAAGGTAGACCTTGTAGATCCCCGATTTGTTAGACTAAGGAGGGTGAGGCGGCTATCTTAGGTTCAAAAGTTATGCATGAGACTAAGGAAAAAGTCACGCTCATTCGATAGAGTTTGCTCATAGCCCAAAGCTGACAGAAGAGTTAGGTAGACAAACGGAGGCTACTGTTGTCTTTTGAGGTGGGAGACCACATGTTTTTGAAGGTCTCGCCATTGAAGGGTTTGTTGAGGTTTGGGAAGAGTGGCAAGCTATCGCCATGGTTCATTGGCCCGTTTGAGATTTTAGAGTGCATCGGGAAGGTTGCTTACCGGTTGGCATTACCACCAAATATGGATAGGGTTCATAATGTATTTCATGTTTCTATACTTCAGAAGTATGAACCGGATCCGTCACACGTCTTAAGTTGGGTTGATGTCGAGGTCGATGAGGATGTGACCTACGAAGAGAGGCCAGTCCAAAATCTTGACAAACGAGACAAGGTGTTGAGGGGCAAGACAATCCCATTAGTGAAAGTTTTGTGGCGTCACCACGGCGTGGAAAAGGCCACTTGGGAGCTGGAACAGGAGGTTCGTTCCAAGTATCCTGACTTGTTTTCATCTCCAGGTATGACTTGATTTCAGGAATGAAATCCTTTTAAGGGGGGTAGAGTGTAAAGTCCCGATTTTTTTTTTTTTTTTTTTTTTTTTTTGATTTTTTAAAAATATATTTTAATTTATTTATTTTTCTTACCTCGATTCGCGGGCCCCGTGGGCCCCAAGTGGCATTTTGGTCATTTATTGAGCCGAGGGTTTTAGAAATATATTTTTAATTAATTTAAGTGAATTAGAGGTGCGGTGCCATTTTAAGAAGTTTTCAGAAGTTGGGATGATTTTCAGGCTCGGGAACTTCTCCCAGTTTCGCCGTTGTGTAGAAGAGCAATGTGAACATTTTACATATATATGTAAATACATGTATTTATAGTTTAGAGGAAGATATTTATGGGACAAGGAAGGAAAATGTATGGCTTATGGGAGGGCAAATTGGTAACTTGGCACAATTTAGAAATCACAGAAATGGTGACAAGTGGCAAAGGAGGGACCACCCCCTCAAATTGTAAACTTGCCAAGCCATCCCTCCTCCCTCCCATTTCAGCAATCACTCACTCTCTCTCTCTAAGTCTTTCTTTCTCTCTATATATCTATATATCTACACATATACTTCATGCCTCAAGCTCTAATTTGGGGGTTTTAGAGTGTGAGTTTGGGGAAGAGCAAGAAGGAAGTTTTGCTTCGGCTTCCATTTGACATCCATTTTGCAAGGGATTGAGGATTTTGAATTTTGGCTTGCACTAGGGCTTATTTGGCTAAGTCATAAAGGTTGAGAATTATTGCATAGTTATTTCATTAATTTCTAGTTGAAGGCTATATTATGAAGTTGTTGTTATGTGAGTGTTGATTTGGTACTCAAGTGTTCAAAGCATGCTTGTATAGATGGAATTGTGTCACTATGTGTTGAGATTAATTGCTAGCATGATTGTATAGTAATAATTATTTGAAAAACATGTATGTGGATAAATATGTGGATTATGTGCTATGCTTAGAACCATTTTGTAGAAGCAAATACCATGCTCATGCTCATTAATTGAAAATGCCATGTTATGTTTACATTGTGGAAAAAAAAATGGCTTGCATGTGCTATTGTTACTAATTTAATGGAATTGAGACTACAATGATGCATAAGCATGACATAGTGAGAAAGGGAATGGGAATAAGGGTTTTACAAAAAAAATGATTTTGTGAAAAGTGACAGAATTTCGCAAGTCCAATGCTAACTTGACCTAGAGGGAGCTCGTGCCGGTTTAGGATGCATAAAGTTGATTACTAGGCCCCAAATGGCCGTCGGTTTAGAGGCTAGGGATAGTTAATCAATCTCGCCTCAGTAAAGTCAGTTAGCATTTTCAGTGTGAGTTAGGGTCAATAGAGACCAAAGATGGGGGGACATGGTGCATTATATTTCATTTCAAGCACAACCTTATTACAATGTATAGTTGCTATTGGTGAAATGTTATTTGTGATGGAAATGTAACTAAAACCCAAAGTAACCCTGATTCTATTTTACTCCCATTATGTGTTTCGTAGCTCAGGAGAGTCCAAAGTTGACGCCTTATGTAACGACTCAAACCTGTGGGTCCGAACCATTATCCGGGTCCTTAATCGAACCCGAGGTCACCTAAGTCAAACTCCATCATACCATAGGTCATCACATCATCATTATGTCTTAATTATATTGTATGGGCCTTTAAAATAACTATCCAAGACCTGGGGTAATTTGTGCCAAAGAAGGAACAAAAGGTCACAAGGTAGCTACAGTTGTTGACCGAAATAGAGTTCCGGTCGACCGAAGTGAACCCCTTGTACCAGTCGATTGAAGTAGCCATTTCGGTCGACCGGTTGTGACCCTAAATAGTAGCTAAGGCTAGTAGAATGATTGACCGACCGAAGTGCCCATTTTGGTTTGCCGAAATGGCCTTTCGAGCTCTGAAATCTGCAACTGAAATGCTGAGAATGAGGAGATGATAAAGAACAATGGTAAGGACTTTGAAACTAATAAAAACTTGCTCTAAAACCCATAAACATAATATGTTACATTCATGGATAAAAACTTCAACAATTTGATGCATAACAACATTATTTTCCCCATCCAAATAAGAAATACATAAAGTCTTTACAAATAGCTCCATTTACATCAAAGTAGAGTCAAAGGTACGTAGTTATTTTACAGTGACTTGTTATACCACTTAAATACATTCTAAATGATGTTTTACAAAATAAATGGGCTCAATACTACAAAAAGAGTGCAAAACCCTCCTTTAAACCCTTTATGCTTGTGGTGGACTATCATCCGCCACCTCCTTTCTGTGACCTAAAAAATAATAATATAAGGGGTGAGCAAATCAGTAGGTAGTGCCTAAGATGCACCTCTTGAGGCCCTGTGAATCCACACAAAGAATGAAAAATAAGGAAGCGGGATCATACTATACCGGGGAAAAACATAATCATAATATCATACCAATAATTCAAATCAAAAGTGAATATGTCGTGCAATAGGATGCAATGCTATACAATATCACTCCCTATTTTCCAAAACCGTTTCCATCATCATTTCCAAAACCGTTAATGAAACCCGTCCCATGGCAACTCCATGGCGGCACGAGAGGAAGATTGGCTAATTGTCCCTAACCCATGGAAACTCAATGGCATCATTTATGGCCTAGGTAACTCAACCACGCTAGGGCGATCTCTCTAGTCCCCTCTAAGCCTCAATAATGCTGCGGTCCCTAGGCAACTCCTGGTTGGTCCATTTTTCATAAAGCTCTTTATCAAAACTTTTCCCAAAAACCCTTTTCTTTCATTTCAAATCAATTTTTCCATTTCATTGCCCAATGACATGCATGAATATCCTATAGATTTCAATGTTGTGCTAATAGAGAAATTTCATGCCTTTTAAGTTAATAATCAACAATGGACATATTTTGTAAAAATCTGTAAAGTATAATTCATGCTTTCAATTCACAAAACTTAACACCAAAGGCACAAAGGGCATATATTATCATCAATTAAGCATACTTCACTTTCATATACCAAATAACACGTTATCACATATTTCATCTATAACATTTAAGCTAATTTACAAGGAATTCATACAAATTAAGCATGCTATGTCACAAATTAAGAAGAATAATTCACTAAAGCCTAAGAAAGTGTGAATTAGAAACTCCTACCTCACTTTGATGCAAAAACTCCCAAAATGAGCCCAAAATTCAAAAATCAAGGGTTGGCCAAAATGGTGCTTGGCTTCTATCAACGCGTAGATCTCACCAAGCTTTCCTTTTTGCCGCAAACAGCACCCAAAAACTCTAATTGGTTGGAGAGAAATCAAACCTTGAAAGCTTTGTATAAAAAGAAAGAAAAAAAAAAAGAAAGAGGGAGAGAGGAACCCACGATTTTGGAGAAGAAAAAATGAATGAGAAGGTGATATGTGGTGATACAAATGGCTTTAGTGCTATGTGGGGCCATGCACTAAATAGAAAAAATCTTTTAGCTTAAATTTTTTACCATAAACTTATATATATACAAACAATGTTACATCCACATTTAAACAATCAATTTATGCGCAAAATAATTATGCATAAAGTGCCATAGACCCATAACACAACTCCCATACACAAAAATTTCGGTAGCGGGTCCCACGTGGGACCTCCCGGCCTAAAAAATAGAAAAATGCCGAAATGGAAACCATTGCATTTCCAAGGGTCCTGAACTCAATGGAATGCTTCCAACCAACTCTTAGACCACAACTGGCACACCCCGCGGTGTTCGACACGTAAAACGAGAAAAAACGAAAATACCCTCGAAAAATCAGGAACTTCCTGAAAATGGAAAATGGTAAAAATAAAAAATATTACAATCTACCCTCTTTAAAGGGATTTCATCCTCAAAATCTACCCTCCTTATAAAGAAGACCCACAACCACATACTTTTCGAGAACACCTGACAAAACCCCGGGACCATGAATTCACTGACATTATTGCCTTTGACAGTAGACGTCACCAAGCAATCACACACCACTGCCACTAAAACCCAATGCGGATACCCATTTCTCACCTCATGATAACACAAGACTAACTAGACCTTACACCTGACTCAAAACAGACATTAGTTTACTCTACACAGTCACAAAAGGCTCTAAAGCCTGAGAAAAGAGCAGTAATCAGACCACCGAATAAGACAACATCCAACCTCAACTTATTCTTCAAAGGACATGCAAAAACCCAATTTTATACATCTCCGTCAGACCAGGCACTCGCTATCTAACACGTAGCTACACCATCAGATAACTGTACCAACGACCACCAACCGCACTATACGACAATCATCATACTAAACAATTACAAGATAGCTAAACAATAATTCTCCTAACGATTACATAATCATGAGTCATAAGAACAATAAAACGTGGTACCATGCACCCAGGACACAAATCCTCAAAATAAGATCTTCAATAATCAATGAACGTACAGCAAACCCTTTATCGGACACTTGGTCCTACCTAACACACTTCGTTACCCAAAACAATTCATCTGAATCCACACTGTCATACCAACACAACACACTGTACCATACTCTCACTATCCACGACCAGTCGAAACAATCAATGACCTTTGACCTGACATCGTGCTAAAGAGGGATTGATTTAGGAGGAATGGTTCGCCAGGCCATTCTCATCCTCGATCCGATCTCAGCACAGACGCTATTCTTATCCTCAGGTCCACAGCTAAAATACAATCTCGCACAGTTCATAAAACAACGATGAGATCCATTCACTATCCATCCATCGTTATACATAACCTTAACTACTATGCAATCATATAGCAGCTTTTAGAATCCCAATCATGCCTTAATCACACAATCATAACAACCTAAAAGCAACATGACACCAAATACCACAATCATCGACCAGCATATAAGCTCTTTAGTCTTATCTAAACACCCATACCAAGTAGATAATAACATCATTCAGTTTAATTCTTACTTCTTCAAAACACACAATGCAACCATCTTATGCCTGAAACCTT